AAACCTGCCAAAAATCAGATATTTCCATTTCTTGAAACCCCTAGCTTGCTCTCTAAAAAATTTCCCTTTTTAGCAAAAATAAGCAAGAATCATCAATCGTCGTTTTCCCGCTGACCGTTGCTCCATTTGAAGCACTGCTCATATCATCATGTTCTTGGTGTCATTCTGAGTCTAGTGGTGGTTGTCTTGTTGTCGTTGTTGTCGACGAGTGAAGAGGTGATGTGAATCGATTTTCTGATGAAGCTTAATCAAGCTCTCCGTCGTTCACTGTTGTGAACAGAGTCTTGTAAGTGCCTTAAAACGCTCGAAAATATTTTTAAGATTTTTTTGTAATTTTTCTATTGTCGAAAACCACCGCACGCGCCCCCACCACCGCCGTTGCACATGGGAAAATTCCACCGCTTGGTGGGTTTCTAAAAACAGGTCAAACTGACCTGTTAACCCTCTCGTCTGCCTTATCTGACCCGCTTGCTTGACCCGTCTAACCCATCCAACCCAAATATTGAATTAGCCCAGTCAGACCGGCCTATCTGAGCCAAGACGAGTCACGCCACGTTGAGTCATGTTGAGCTGCACCGCACCACACTCATTGTTGACCGCACTATTGACTACACTGCACCGTGTCGTTAACCGTGGTTTGAACGTCGTCATTGACCAATCGTTGAATTTTTTTAAAACCTCCCTATTGTCATTTTTCGACGTCCTGAGTATGATTTTGTTGTTCATTTTACCAAATTTTGACCCAAAAGTCCCAAATCAAGCTCGTCAATCCGAAAAATGCTTAGTTTTTTTAGCATTTCTGTTTATTTGTTTGGGATTTGATTATGAAATTAATCTGGGATTATATTTTCGTGAAGGTAACCATGATTTGCCTGACCGGGGGTCGACCATATACGACATTTCTCGTCTGATAGATTAACATGTTACACGTTCTTTGAGAGTTACTCGAGGTTTTCATAAATTATTTAATTAAAATTTTTTATTTATTTTTTGTTAGGATTTTGGGATGTTTTTCCGATACGTAAGGTCTATCACCACCGTCGATCATGATAGGCAGACCCGAGAGTAGGCTTTCATCTAGGGATAAAAAGAGGGTACAATTTCGTGGATTTCGTACCGTACCATCTCCAATTGGGGCGGGGATGGGTATAACTTTTGTTGGTAGTGGGCGGGTGTGGATTTAGAAAGTGGTACCAATCGCGGGTAATGGGCAGATGATGGGTTTAAGACCTTACCCGCCCCGCATCTGCCCGCCCCACATCCGCCCGCCCACTAAATACCCATTAAATTTTGGACCATTATGAATTTAGGTATAATTTTAGAGACTAATTTATAAATCTTAATAATATATAAGATATATACTGTCATACGAGTCTAGCCGAGTACGTCTTCAGTTGGGTAGTGAGTGTGGGGATGGATTTGAGAATGTACCCACGTGGGCGAGTGTGGATTTGAAAAATTTTACCCATCATGGGTGGCGGACGGATGGTGGATTTAAAAATATTAGGTGGGGATGGGGATGGAAGAGGGGGTATCCACACCCGACCTGCCCGTTTTCCATCCCTACTACCATCCTAGACTTCTTATATAGGTACATGTGTATTCTTATTGGTGTTATAATATTGTTTTAAACTATCTATCTGAATTGTTTTAGAAACTAAATACTCTGACAACATGGCATCTATTTTATCGCTTACTCTGAGTTCTCATATCTGATTTACAGTATATTCTGGTATGATATCTGGTTATTGTATTTCTGTATCTGAATATGAAAAGTGGTATGTTTTAAGGTTTTATTAAATTGAATTGATCTGTCCACTCAAATTCATGAATATTCGCTATCATTGGGGGATATGATTGGAGGAAGTATCTCAGGCCTAGTCTATAACTTATAAGACCTTACCTAGGGTTTCTCTACATTGTAAATTGGCTAAGACCTTACCGCAGACCCTTATGTTATCAGCATAAGGTCCTTACCAAGCGTACAGGTGGGTGTATGGTTCAGGGGAACCTACACTTTCTGGTGTTCAGATAAGGGTAGTGTCCATATTTTAAAGAGCATGTTTTCATAAAATAAATTTTACTGAAATATTTTATCTATATGTTTTTATACATCGCAAGGAGCACACTGAGTTTTTTTTATCTCATTCTTTAAGTTTTAACATTTCAGATACTATCCGACAGTAGGCTAGCAGACTTGACATCACGTGGATCAACTATTCTCTATTTTGTATTACTGTATATTTTCTTGTGCCCATCTCTGATATATTTTGGTGACATGTAAATTTACATTAGTCTATATATATATATATGTATATCGATATTTTGATATAAATATATTTCCATATGCATATATATTTACAATTATGTATTTTTATATTTTATTGTTATTCGTATTTTATTAACTAAAAGGGATTTCAAGTTTGTTTTGAATTTGGAAATGAATTTTGTATACGATATGTGACCACTTATATTCGAGCCTACCGTCTAGGTCGAGTCTAGGTAGTTACACTTGATGGTATCAGAGCTTTCGATTTTAAACATTCAGATTGTGGATGAGTGCAAATACCATATTTTCAAAGATATTTATTGATATTTAAAAACAACATGTCACCTTGTTTTACAAGGTTTAAATGAATTTGAGATTTCTAATTCTAGTCTAACTTAGGTTGGAATTCTTTCTTTAGAGCCTATTAGATCTGATCCGATGAGTACTCGAGATCATAGGACAAGCCGTGGTTAGGGTTGTGAGTGAGTAACCCAACATTTTGTTTCTGTAGAAGACCCATCGTTAGCCTGAGATCCTCCTACTCAGCGTGTTCATCAGTCTACTTCCCGAGAGGATCTGATCACACCTGCGAGAGACCCTCCTGTCATTGAGGACGAGTATGCTAAGATGGATTAGGGTGCTATAGACAGAGTTGTTTATAGCATGTTTTTAAGGCAGCTAGAGCCCCTGCTAATATGTTTGTTGTGGATATATCAACGTCTCCAGTGGCTGCATGAGTGGTTCCATTTGATGGCATTACTAGAGGACCTCCGACAGATGTTGAGTACTGGTTGGAGGATACCGAGAGGATTATGGATGAGATGGAGCTGAGGCCTGTCAGAAGTTGAGGAGAGCACTAGCTTTGCTTAATAAAGAAGCGATGAAATAGTGAAATTTAATTTCTAGAAGTATCCTGAGGGATCGTTCGAATTGGGATCTTTTCAAAGGTCATTTTTGGAGTCGCTACATTGAAGAGGGATACTTACAAGAGCGACGTAAGGAGTTTCAGAGTTTGGAGAAGGGTGATATGTTTGTTATAGATTATGAGATTGAGTTTATCAGACTCAGTCGTTATGCTCCAGGGTTGGTGGACATCGAGGTAGATCGATGCTTGAGGTTTGAAATGGATTGAGATATGAGATCATGGACCAAATTGCTACCTAACGAGACAAGGACTTTGATGCATTGGTAGAGATAGCCAAGACTGCCGAGGGGATGGAGCGAGTGGGCATGGAGCGTATGAGGGATAAAGACCGATTGAGGGGTTCTTCTGGTTCTAGAGATGTTTCTGTGCGTCCCAGCAATAGAGGTAAGGACGAGTCTCCGTAGAGAGGTAGAATGAGTTCTAGACCTGCAACGTCATCCACTACAACAGTTTTAGTTTCTAGTCATGGTGGTTCTTCTAGAGTACCATCTTTGCCCACGTGTGAGTATTTTGGGAAAATCTTTTGCAAAGTGCAGAAAGAATATGGGTACTTGTTTCAGATGTGGATCTACAGACCATTTCTTGAGGGATTTCCCAGAGTTAGCTCCCATGGTTCAAACACTAGTTCAGACTTCCGCTCATACTCATAGCATAATTCAGACACTAGTTTGGGGTCGTAGTCACCAGTTTGGGTTTGAAGTCCATTAAAATTAAGATTTTACATTATTTCTATAATTTCAACTCTCCACCAATATGTTCTGGTAAGGTTTTGTTAGTTTGTAGCATAAGGATAAAAATGGTAAAAAAATCAAAATTCATCTTAGGCATTTAGCTACTTTTGAATCAATTTCGAGTTAAATAGTATTAATTTCCTTCCATTTACTGAACTCTCTCATCATTTTCAAATTCTCTTTTCCTTGTAAAATAATCAGTCTCGCAACCTCTAACAAAGCATGATTAAGCAAGCAATATTATTTTGGAAAAGTACCCAAATGGTCCCCGATTATAAGATGTTTCTTTATTAAGTCCATCGATTATTGAAAGTTATAAAATGATCCCCGACTATATGAGGTTTTTTTATTGAGTCCACCGACTATTAAAAGTTACAAAATGATCACTTAACTATTTATATGTTTCAAAACTCGTTATTTTCCGTTAAAAAATTAACGATGGACTGAGGTTAATTGGAATATGATAAATTATAATTTAATTGTCTACTAATACCGCCGTTACTTTCAAACACTAGCCCGACCACATAATGTTTCAAGTATTGGCTCAGTAATATAATATAAACGAGAGTTAATCTACAAAATACAACTCAAACGATTCTAGGATTAGATTTTATCATATCTCAATTAACAGGTTAAAGTTTAATTAAGACCACCACTAACTTTTTAATGAAAAATAAGTTTAGAATGAGTACGTAAATCTTATAACCGAATAATCATTTTATAACTTTTAATAATAGAACTCAACAATCATTTGTATTACGCTATTATTTTTTCAGAAAATGACTCCCATTCATTTGAGTACATAAACCTTAAGACCTTGATTTTCGCGCAATGCAAACAAATTTTATGCTACACAAGCCTTAGAATTTGTTTGATTTGTTCTCAAGCTTAAATCCTAGACCATTCACTAGGGAGGTTATTTAAGTCGCCTTTATGCCGTTTGAATCTTTCAAACTAACCTCGTCAGTTTGAGCTTCAATTATTTCAACCATTTTACCTTATTTCAACTGGGATGAAGGTAACTGAGATAAAATAATTCCCAAGGGTAATAAATATATCAACAAAAACTATCACATATTGTATAATCCGACTTCACTTACTAATAAGTCAAAGATCTTTCCGCTGTTTAACCAGACAAGGCAAGTCATCAACATACTCGGCTGATGCATGCCTCAAAAATCACAATTCGAACTCCCTCGGTCACCGCATATTCAGAACCTTCAACAAAACCCATTCTCCCATTGCTTTTCATGCTTGACCTCGGCATCTTCGCTGGTTTGCTTATAGAAGTATATAAACTGAATTACTATCTGCAAAATCATTTAAGGTTCTACAAATCGTCTGGATATACGGTAAGGTAACTGCAGCAAATAGCACCTCATTGTTAGAGAGACCTAAGGCTTTGCTTGGTATGAATGATGGAGAAGCCTTAGGATCGAAAAAGTGTTAATAAAATGGTTAAGATTCATAACCACTTTCTTACTTTGTAGATTAACCATTAAATTAACAAATTTCCCATCTTTCGTACAGAGAAGGGCCTAAGTATTAAGAAGCAATGCTAAATAGAAACAACCAACATCTTCTATTAACGACTCCGGAAAAACACATCAAATAGGAACAGTCGAGAAGCATGAAATCATGACAATGCTTAATAAGGATACAAAAGTATCAAGCAGCACACATCCTCCAGCATCCACCAACCATGGTAAGTTTGGTTGTATTCTTGACCAATCCATGCTTCTTACAAGTATGCTACAAGGGGAATAAAGAATGTTAAGAAGAACAAAGAGAAGTTGCTCTCGGTAAAACATCAGTAGTACTCGAATTAAGTCGAATAATGATGATCAGTTGATCAAATTTACCTTGCAACATATGTAGAGTTCCCAACCAAAGCAAAGATAAACATAAAAGGGCTAAGTCCCTGCAAGCATGAAAGTACATATCATACAAGATTCAACCCTGAATACGTTGCTAGCTTCCAAAACAATTTTTTTTTCATTTCGTCAAGCTAACCAACATATGACAAAAGCTTTTAGCTCCTTTGAAGTTGAAAATGAGCTATAGAGGCAGAGTTGAAGATCTATTCGGAATTTTAGCGCAATGAAAAGCTCTTCAAAGAGTTGGACGAGGCTTTGGAGTAGAAAAAGATATTCTTAGTTATTCAAATAGTTTAAATACAAAAGCACTTTTCAAAAAAAAAAACCATACTTCATAGAATAATCTTTTGAACAACCCCAATCAAGAGCAAACAAAATGTAGATAAACTGCATGCTTATTCCAGTGCATGAAATAACTTTTATAGAAAAATCGATGCTTGTGTTACGACTAAGAGATCTAAAATTTTTAAACAATGTGTTTACCTCCACGTTGCCTCTTCTAATCTGCAAAATTGATCAGGAAAACTACATTAAGTTTAACTAAAAAAAATACAAGATATGCTAGTTTCAGCAAAAAAAAAAGTTCACTGAAATTTTTAATGCTATACTACATTCATTAAAGAAAAGCTTTGTGACAAAATCACGTTCGATTTTCACATGCCATGTGTTTGTTAAAAAAGGTATCTGATACACGGAGAATATGTAAGAAGCTACTGGGTGCTTGTGTTAGTTTTAAGGTTGGCTAGTTGTTAGGGCGTCAAAAGCTGTTTGAGGCAGTTCATAAAATGTTGCAACAGTTGGTAGGAAAAAGCTGTTGATAGTAGTTATTCAGCTAACAGTTTTCCCTGTATATAAATAGTTTTTACTTGTATTGGGGACTAAGAATGAAGTTGCCTCAATTTCTCTCTTCCCTTTTGCTTTAAAGTCTAACCATAAATTTACTTTCTTGATTTGGTCTCCTACATTAGCCTACGTACCAGAAATTACCCCCAATAGTATCAGAGAACTCTGCTTGGCAAAACATACCAATGATGAACTTTTACACAATTCTAGTTGACAGCCTAAACTTCTAATAAGAACTCAGTCGTCCTTATAACACACCTAAAGTTACAATGTGATCTACCCAAACCCGCAGCTTCAGAATTACAGATAATGAGTCAAATTAATGTAACATAAAACTTGTGAGTAGTGACAACTAGAAAGTGATATTAACCAAGTAACAGAAATTTGTGTTTGTCTAAATTAACAAGCTTATGCCTTTAGGTCTAATAGTTAACACTACATCCCTCTTAAAATATAATGATCTATGCTTTCAATGGTACACCCTTTGCCATGTCAAACTGTAGTTTCAACAGATAGTACGTGGATTGCATGTACTTAAAGCATTTTCACTTGCAAGGGAGGGATAGTGCTAAGAATAAGGGTACTCAAATTATAAATATAAGCTTTTATGCTAGGTTGGATCTAAAAGACCATATAGAAGAACCATGGATATAAACTTCTAATACAAGTTCAGTCGAACACTGTAGTTAAAAGTTAAAGAATTAGAATTTAAAATTGAAAGTCACCTCGTGGGGTCATTAGCAATCGAGCAATATATACAATTTAAAACCTTGCAGTAAAAGCTTTACTAATTATTTTTATGTAAACCTTACATTTAAGTAAATTTGGGGAACACGTCCACCCATGTAAATAAATGCCATTGCCCAACCAAGAAAAGTTCCAACCCTGCTACCTCCTTCAGAACAGCTCTCTCCTATTGACACGGTATTCGCCTGCAATCCAAATTATAAATAATTCAAACCTTGATGATAACTCTCCTCCTCCTCAGAGAACTTATTTCTAAAACCAATGTGAATTCAATCCAAATTGAATAAATAATGCATTGAAACAAGATATTTGGCAAGAATGTAGTTTTTCCAGTCCCTATCCCTAGAACATGATAGTACCCACTTTACATGCTTATCCAAAAAAAATACCCAATTTATGACATGCAAGAAACTGAAATTCAAATAAAATAACACAAACCATGAAAAAGATAACTTAAGGTTAAAACAGATGTTGAATAAAGAACGACCAAGTGAAACTGGTGACAAATTTAGATCACCTAGAAGGCTTTACCATCTGGCCTTAACTGTAAGCCTGCTAAATCCAGCAGATGGTTATAAGCATATAGAGCAATTTAATTGCAGGTTGAACCTACCTGGAGAAGCTTTCTTCCTATTTGTATCACAAATCCTTGATTTATTTTCTCATTCCCTATGAGAAATTTACTATCGGCTGAAAGCTTTAAATTAAATAAGCCAATGAACATTAATGCAGACACCTGAAACAAAAAAGACACATTCTATATATTATGATCCTTTTACGACAATACAGGGATGTTAGTTCCCAAAGTTAAGTTATAAATTATAATCACCAAGCATAACAATGATTTGGAGCTTGAAGTTGATATGGATTCCCGGTTCTGAGAGGTAGATTGCGTAGCAACATATGCACCGAGCAATGGCTCTTGAACTAAATTTCCTGAATGAAAAGGAGGAGTCATTCTTTGTGCAAGGAGGGATCCTGCTGTGGGAGTATGACTACTTGATAGAGATCTTGCTGACCTAAATTATAAATTAGAAAGAAAATGAAAATCATTATATGGTCATTATAGACAACATTGAGATGGGCATAGCAAAATATGTGTAGGATTTTACTTGCCCAGAACCTATTAATCTGACATAGATCTTGATATAATTTGATACATTACAAATCCTTACAAGTCACAGTAAACGCGGCTCTCATCATCTCAGGATCTCAAGAAAACTTGTAAGAGAACTCACCCAAGTTTATCTTTGTCCATGAAGCATTCCAACCTTTATTGGATACTTTTTCTTCCTAGACATTGTAAAATTTTGTTGAACAAAAGAGTAACATTTGGAGCAATATATTTAAATGACAAGAAATGGAATTTATATAATATTTCTATTCAGAGGCGTACATCTATAGGAACATGGTTAAACCAATTCCGAGTCTTTGAACTAAATGATAATGGAGGAGATATTGATGGAAACTCCATCTCTTAAATTGGATAGAGGAACCAATTCTAAGTAGGGTGCAAAATTCACAAAAAAAAGTAATAATAAATAAATAATAAAAACAAAAGAATGCAGACACAATACATAAGAGAAAAAAGCAAACTATGCAGTCCTCAATTTCTAGAAATGCAGCTAATGTTAGAACTTTCAGGCAAAAATAATGAATTACCTGTAAAATAACTCTCCGCCAGTAGAATTCTTTGGAAGGGGAATAGGAGAACTTAATTTGTCAGGATCAGTAACTGGTTTCACACGAAAATAGCTATTGTTTTTTTCAATCTTTTTCTCTCCCTCGGATCGGTACTCTTTCGAATCCTACATATGAAATGCATTCAGGAAATTTGGAGCATAACACAGCAAAGAAAAACATAAAATAATAGAAAAAGACCATCAAAACCCAATAAAGAGCTTTTAACATTACTGCAAATGCCTTCAGTGGTTACACTTACGATTCCTTACATTTGTTGGAAACTAAATAAAGGTGTCATTAAGAGATCTTCACAAGCATATTGTAGGTAAATAAAAAGTTACATAGATTTACTCCTCCCCCCACCTTATGTTTTCTTCCATCCCCGGTAGACTTAAGTATCATCAAGTTAAGACTTTAGAACAGCAAAATGGAACCTACAAAGTTTAAATCAGCACAAAATTTGGATACTTGAATCCAGTATCTTAATCTGATTATTTGTAAAATGCAGAAGTTTATGCTTGAGGACAGAATCACGACTTGCACAGTCAAGTATTAAAAACTTTACCAAATGCCTTAAAAAATTAAATTTTAAAAACATTACCAAAAGATCTAGTCATGAATTTTGTTAAATTATGTCAAGTATAATGAAATATAATAATAATTTAAAAGTATTTTTCCAAAATTTAATATAATTATAAAGTAATTAAGTTAAATACTTTTAAATTAAAAATGCATGGTCCTCTTACAAAATAATATCTGATCTTCATTATTACTTAAAAAATGACTTACCAAATTCAGATATTTAGCAGATTCAAATATCTGGAAAATAATGTTATTTAATTTGGTTCTGGATAGAAATAATCGTTCAATGCAAATAATAAATAAATTCAGATTCTAAGCAGTTTTGTGGAATGTAATTCAGATATTACAATAGATATCAACTCGTTATCATACATTACTACGTGCAAAGAAAAAAATTAGCCACCGTGATTTCCATGACACTGGATAATTAAGTAAAAGATGATCAATCAATGTCAAGGTTTATCCTAAATGTGTCTTGCAAACACAGATATATTTGCAGAAACTTGTTCTCGAGATTTAGGCTGAAGAGGCGATAACTGAAGCTCATGCGCTACCAGTTTCCAGTTATATTGATTTCAAAAATAAAAGGAAACAAGTCATAATGCTTCAAAACTTGCTAAAGCAATAAAATGCATTCAGACATTACTCTATAAAATAACATAACTCTTCTAAAATTGCACCTATGTCCGGGTTTATCCTAAATGTGTTGTGCAAACAAAAATCTATTTGTAGAAGCCTGTTCTCAAAAATCTATTTGCAAAAATTTCTTCTGAACTGGGATGAACTTTAAATTTGAAAAATTGTAGCATAAACTTTGACAAGAAAAAATGGATTCTAATGTCTTACCTTGTTGCACACTTCAGGATAAATGTGACCATAGTATACAGTCTGTGCCGCAAGAATTAAAGTAGTCATTGTATACAACTGCACTTGGCATCATAGTAAGGCCATGTAAGTACAAGGTTGAAAACATTAGAATAGAACAATAAACTAACATTCTGGATGTAGAAAATGTTCTTACAACTGCCATATAGTACTGCGTTGGAAGCTGCAAAGAGAAGCAATAAACTTTAGCAAACTGGTTGTAACAAAATCCCCCACATGAAATCAAGATAATTATTTTTCTTCAAACTCATGAGAATTCATTCTTAACTACAATTTGATGGGAGAACTTATTTCACATGAAAAATCGTTTTTCTTGATCTGTAATGTCTTTTAGAAATGAATACATATACTACGTTCTTTACTTTTTGTGTAAAACAATGACTAGAATTCAAAACTTGAGAAAAAAAAAGCATGTAAAAAAAGTACGGTAAGAAATCACATTTTTGTATGGAAAAAAAATAATTGGTCTGTTTCAAATAAACATAGGGAATTGAAATCTAAGTAACATTTTAGAAAGCAAAAGTGAGTAATAATGTGAAGAAAGAAGACATTGTTAGTCCAAGTCAACCTCGAAGTCACAATGGTAATGCAAGGAAAGTTAAGTAACAAGTAGATTAGAGATAAGTTGGTGAGTTTGAATAGCACAACAAGGTAATCAAAGAGGTAGAATAGGTAAGAAACAATATATTTATCAACAGCACAACAAGAACCATCGGTGGTAAAAAGGAAGGTTATTCTCGTTAGAGGTCGTAATTCGAGCAGATTCAAGTTCTGCATCTGTAGGTTTGGGCGTTGTCAATAACTTTAGAAAGTTCTGAAAGATATTACCTTGTAATCACCTGTACTATTTAAAAAAATAACACAAGGAATCAGTACAAGAAAAGAAAAAGAAACTCACAGTAGCCGGCTCAAGAATACAACCGAAGAGATTGAAAAGGTCACTGGAGAGACAAAGTAGAACAAGTCAGAAACAGAAACAAAAACAAACGGTGAAAAAAAAATGCATTTGATATAAACAGGGAAATAGAAGAAAAGCACGAAATGAGGAAAAGGAACAGGCACCCAATAATCCAAGTAATCAAGAAACTGAGAGAGAGGCCTTCGACGGATTTCTCCTTATAGTTGGTGATAATCTGAGGGATTTCAGCCACACCCCAACTTAGTACACTGACCAACCCCAAACCAAACGAAACCTGGTCTCTCCTGCTGCAAATGCAGTCGTCTAAGTAAGCTTTTGCCCATTCCCAGCATTCCCCATCCAGACTGCATGTCGCCATTGCCTCTGCTTCTGCTTTCAGCCTTTGGTTCCCCTCCTCAATATATGAATATATCTCAATAATTAACTCCAAATCAGATCTCGTCTTCTTAGGAAATTAATTAATACGGAAAGAAATCAATGCATTGAATGCGGTATCTAATAATGATAAACAGACAAAACAAGAGACTAGAAATACAGATGAAAGGTCCGGGGAGTTTGCTTTCCGCTTTTATTTGTATTTTTTTTATAAATCAGATCTCCTCTATTTTGGATTGAAAGTTTTTTTAGAAATTCTTTTATAAACTAAACTGCTAATTTAATTTTAGAGAACTTAATTGCCAGAAAATTGAAGAGAAATTAGAATTATAAAGTATTAAATTGAATAAATAAATTCAATGACTAAGTTGAGAGGGTAAGGACTATCCTGAATACAGGGCAAAGTTGGGACTTGGGAGTTACCATCTTTATTGAGGTAAATACGTTCCTTTTTTCCAATTGAACATAACTTTAAATACAAATTTTTCTCTCCTCTCACAATCGAGTCTTTTCTTTTTCTAAAATCTCTTTCCCCCAAATCTGTCTTATCGCTCCACCGTGTTCATGTTGTCATCATTCTCAACGTCTTTGCCTTCTATTAATGCCCCAACAGCATTCGCCTCGTGAGAAAGATGGAGGTCAAAATCTCATGCTCTCGTATGTCCTCTCTGTTCGGGGTGTTATTGTCGTATCGTCGTTGTCAATAAGTGAAGGATATGGTAGACCGCCTCTTCTTTACGACCATGAAGTCAAATTGTTTAAACGTCGAAACTATCAGCTTTTTACCAACCAAAACTCCTAGACAGACTTCTCTGTCCACCAAAGTTATTGCAGGATTCCTGACCTCTAGTAATGAAAATTTGAAAATGTCATGTTACTCGAAAAATAAAAATTTTGACAGTATTTTGACAGTTTTACAATTTAGTCCCTTATTTCATTATTTCTTCAATTCTTTTTAGAATGATAACGGGGCGAGTTTTGCTCGTCCCGTCCTCGAACTCGAAATGAATCCCCATCCCCGACTCCGACCCGATCCCCGTCGAATTTTTTATCAGGGCATCCCGTCGGAGATTTTTTTTCCTGTCCCCGAACCCGACCTAAAATTTTATACTCAAACCCGAACCCGAAAATATTATATATATAATTAATATAAAAAATATGAAATGTTATATATATAATTAATATAAAATATATAAAATATTATATATATATATATATATAATCGGGGCGGGTGGGGCAGGATACCTTGCCCCGTCCCTGAACCCGACCCGAAAAAATCCTTGATACCCGACCCGACCTAATATCATTCAAACCCGACCCGACCCGAACTTGATCGGGTTTCGGGTTTCCTCGTTGGGTTCGGGTCATTCTGTCATCCCTAATTCTTCCTTCATTTTAAGTCTATTGTTTTACCAAATTTGAACTACATGCTCCTAAATCATCGTAAAATACATACGTACTTTCAATTCCTCTTTTTGATAACAGATTTTTTATTTTCAATTCGGTCTCTCAATTTTTCATAATTTCCTTATTTCTTTACTTCATCATTTATTTTAAGTCATTTTTTTATTAAATTTGAATGCTCATATATCATAATGGAATACCTATATAACTTCAATTCTTACTTTTTTTTACTAAAAATATACTCTCTCTTTCACTTTATTTAGTCCATTAACTTTACATTTTATTCAATTTGGTCTTTTAACTACAATTGTTTGCAAATTCTTTTTTCTCATCAATTCCTTGACTCCTTTATACTCTCATCAATGTTTTATCCTCAAAATACTTTCTTTAAAATATAATATTATGAATATATTTTATAATTTTAGATTACATTTGATATATTAAATAACATTATAATATGAAAAGAATAATATATATAGTTAGAGAAAGTTAAAAAATTGGAACAAATACTTGCCACGCTACTATAAACAATTATAATAAAATTAGTATAGAAACTCGAATAACTCGACTTGAATAACTCGACTCTATTCGAAAAAATTTCAAGTTAAGTTCGAGTTGAAAAATACGATTCATCAACTCGAATAACTCGAACTTTTTTACTCAACTCGATCGAATGTTCACCCCTTAAGTAGATTTATCTAGCCTATTGACATACAAAAAAACCATAATAGCCTTATATATGATATTGTCAGCTGAAGACCACCATAAATAACCCCAATTATGATTGATAAGGGGACTAGAACTTTTCATAATCCACATCCAATCTTCATATTCTTCTTCCTTATGGCCACTTCTCTCATATAGAGAAACATTGGCTAACAGTCTTTCCCTTATTGATCGTAGCTCTACACCAAATCAATAGCGGTGAACCACCAATTATCGACGAGATAAACTTATTCTCATCAACAATTGGTGCGGTTAGCATGGAAAAACCTCTTGATTGAGAGAATCAGTCTAAATCTTTCCCAAAAAATAGAATGTAATCATCCCCACCTACATTTATCTTCCTAAAAATCCCTCTACCTATATATTACTTTTGATCGGATACTGCAAATTCAACCTATAAAATTTGTATGCATAGTCGAATCGACTACAAAAATCAAAGGAAATGACCATATGTACTCTACTCATCCAAATCATCCCTTTTATGAGATATGGAAAGCTGATGTAACGTCATTGACCCTAGAATCTACTGAGCTCTGAGCTCGTCCGTCAAGAGGCAACGAATACAGCCCCCATTGACGTTAGGGACACCCCGACCATGAAAAGAGTGGAAAGGCTCAGTGGTGTGCACAAGGGAGCATCCACAAAACTATAAGGAGTCATACCTTCGGCGAATTCATCTATAACGACCTCATGAAAAATATCAGAAAGTTGCCACAACGGCCCTCTGTATCACCTCATGAACATCGATGAGTCTCACTTTACAAATAGATAATACTAGTTATGTACTAATATGTTCTAGCAAGAATTTCTCTACAAGAAACTGTCAATATAATCCTGAACCAGGTTCCTGGAAAAACCTTCTTTTATGATGGCGTGTAACATTTTGAGAAAATTAATACATACAACCATTTTGGTATCTCTACTTGAGCACCAAGTCTCTTGGAACGTTCATATTATCGTATATCATGTTTCTATGGCATTGAGTTGTCTATACTATGCTGCCATAGTGGGAATGCCCCTAACCTATGATTAAAAGGCGTTGGGTTACCTCCGCTCTGAATGTCAAGATGCCTCCACTCACCGTAAGAGATGTGATGCCTCCAAATGCAAGAGAAGCTCCAGCCACTAACTACAAAAAAACCTTAAGTTACATTCGTACATTCACAAATTACCTTTAAAAGTTGCTGACTTGCCTTTTCCTCAACTTACGACCATAAAATCGTCCCAGGGGTTGAGATACCTCCGCTTCAATATTGAGATGCCTTTACCTTATTTTAGCAAAGTTGCCTCAGTTTCACATACAGTATGGTATGTGTAGAGATGCATTTGTACCCACCACAGTGCACTACCGCAGACTGAATAGCCTCCTTTACCTCAATGAATAGTATTGAGATGCCTTGTGCTCCTCTCAAACAAATGAAATTACATCCCAAAATCATCAAAAGAATTGAGAGCCTCTGCTTCGGCATTAAGATGTATTTACCCCATTTTCATCGTGGTAGAGATCCTCAATTTATCTGTAGTGTATTGTACACGTTGAGATGCCTCAACACTCACGTAAAACATTGCCATAGAATGATAAGCCTCATTTACCTGGATGAGAAGAGTTGAGACACCTTACATAGTAAGATTATACCATAAAACCGATTGAAAGAGTTGAGAGACTCTACTCTAACAAAATGTTGAGATACCCTACCCTAGAACCATGGAAATGTCTTTGAAAGCCTGGTTGATATGGGGATGCTTTCATTCTTGCTGATATAACACAAAGCATAAAAATACTACAACTTTATATCTACCGTCGGAGGCTGGGAAAACGAGTTGGGAAATCTTTTATGCCTCTCCTAACGTCAAGATACAAATACATTTTGCCCATTCTTTGAACAAGATTTCACACAGAACATTAAGAAAATGTTATGAGAATGAAACCTCCACAAGAAAATTATGAGAATGAAACCTCCACGTTGAGACATCGAGGACCATTGCATGGAAAAACTTCACCAACATTTATATCGAAGCATCAAAATAATTATGATTGCATCCAACATCAACATACCCTTGTGCCTTTGCAATGAATTGATAAATTATCAAACGTTGAGAATTTTTTGTGGGTGTATATCTAGGGACATAGAGATAAATTTGCCTGAATTTTGAATACTTAGACAAAGATGTAAAGACATATAGATACTCTATAACACAAGTGTTAACATACCTCCGACAGCTCAATAGATTGAGAGCCTTAAACGCCCTTGAGAGGGCAACAAATGTGGAAACACCACACATCTCGCTCCCACTAGTACAACTTAGAACTACCTCTAAATTAATTATGAGATATCGTCGCTATGGTGTACCTCTGCACATTATTTGTAGCAAAACTAGGTTACTTCTATACCAATAAAACTGTAAGCTTCCCCAATAATGGGCTTATGAATATGGATCGATATAAGGGTTGAGATTCATCTAATTTAATATCAAGGCGACTTTTCCCTCGACTATACAATAAAAAACATGTCTGAGTTTCTACCCATAGTCTATGATACATATAGATATGCCTTCATACCCACCAACGTGCATTACTACAGAATCAGTAACCTCATCCACCTGACTAAGAAGTTCTAAAGTGCCCTATATTGCGAGACTACATCCTAAAACTAACTGAATGAGTCGAGAAGCCCCACTTTAATGAAACTTTAGATATCAATATTCTCTCAATGTGAGCATCCTCTTAAGATAATTATTCCATGTTTATTTCAAATATACTCTTCACCCTTTATCATTGTCAAAATGCCTTTACTCATTATCCAAACTTCCCTGTAATAAAATCAGGGCAAACTACACAAATGGTCACTTAAGTATAAGTAAGTTTTCGTTTTTCCCACTAAAGTTTCAAA